TGCAAAGTAAAAGTGCCCAATAATAGCTTGGTACACAACAAGTCCATGCTTGGTTGGAGGGGGGGTATAATAGTTTCATTGCTGAAGCAAAGCATAATATTTATAACCTTCAATCTTAATTAGTTACAGAGCTATCAAATATAAAATCAGACTCCTCTTGCCATGCCCACCTGTCAATCCTCCCTTTCAAAACTAGCCAATAGTTTTCTCTGACCTTTAATCCTATAATGTATATAACCAATAGAAAATCAAGGGTTCCGCCTTTGAAATGGCGTGTTACTCTACTGTATTTTGTCTCAATAGACAATGTGTAATTTCGGTTTCAGTTTTACTTTTGTTCCCACAGGAAATATATTGACCAGATTTGTTTAATTTCTAACGACGTTTGTGGCATAGTTAGAAAGCCAGAAAATTTGTTATAGTTATGGGACATATTCTGCTTTATGCATGTTATTATTCTGCGTTATTTCGAGCATTATTTCATTAAGTAAATAATTATTTAGTGCAGTAGTACTGTTAGTTTAGAAGTTTGTTCACTTCTAGCAAATAAGAAAAAAAATCATGTAAAACAATAGTGACGCGTGCAAACGAACATGTTTTATTGTTATATACTGTCGTGTCAGCGAGGTCACGTGACTAGTATCACGCCACGTCTTTCTAGAAATATCCTGTTCCTTCATGAATAACCCAGCGATTACTAGATATGTGTAAGTCTTATATATATAAGACGGTCACAACGTGACGAGAACAGTGTGTGTGTAATTGAACTGAGTATTGTTGAAGTCAAGCACATCCTTTCTTAAATAAAACTGGTTTATTCTTTCTGAATATAACTTTGCGATACACTTAATTTCAACAGTCGCGCTATAACAAACGCTATAATTCTCAACGAACGTCTCAACTTGTGTCGCTAAAGTTTCGTCGGAACGAATTTACGGAAAATTAAGTAACGATTGGAGGCGTAACAATACTGTATAATATCTAGTTGCCCTAAAAACGCCTATTTATATCTCTGAATTACATACAATAACTTCATGTTTAGCTTTATAAGTTGATTTGTTTCACTAAAGTTTAGGTTTAAAGGATCTATGTAAATAGTTACGTTTATCAATTGCTATTGTAGAAAACTATAATCTCACCTTTCTAGATATATTTTCACAAATCTTTATCGAGAGTTTGTTTCTTGCTGATAGAAACTAATAGGATATAGACGTTCTCTCCGTTTCTATCTGTAGATCATTAACCTAATCATTTTGCTACAAATAAATATAATAAATGAATGACTTGCTGTTTAACCACTCACATTACTATTATAGAAACAAATTTAACTTCTAGTTTAAATAATGATAAAGAAAGCTCAATATGCGTTCATGATATTCTCAAGATATGAGGGTAAATTAGGATCTTGTTTTCGATCTAGAACTCACATATTTGTAGTTTAAAACTGTTATTGTTTCCAAATATAACTTACCATGATTTATACATACTCTACCTTATTCAAAGTGTATTTGTTTAGACACATAAAGAAATATCAGTATCGTTCATCTTACAATTTGGGTTGTGTTCTTCAAATTTATCTCGGGAGCAAATTCTGCTGATAAATCGATTATAGATAAAATAGCATTTTATGGTTTTCCATAAAACATTCACTTGAAGTACAAAACATTATACGATGAAAATTCAGAAAACGTTTTAGCTTATAAACAAATTTTGTATGCATAAATCAAAACGTCTGCTTTTTGGTAAAATATATTATTTCTTGTTTGTAATGGCATGCACGAGACTAGAGTCACGTCACTTTATAATAATTCAAACATATATATTAAATATCTGTTGACAAATTAGATATTCTATTACACTATAACATTCAATCTTAATACTTTACCAAAGCATCAAATACATTTTTCACAAATGAATTTAGTTTGTAACCAAGAAAAAGAATTCACAATGATAATCTTGAAAAGAATCTTTAATTATAAATCAAGTAATTATTCTTTCGTATTTTATAAATCCAACATATCTAATGTTTGTCATTACAGAACGTGTTTTACAACAACAATTACAAGTTAACAAGCATACTGAAACATTTAATAACAAAACTTCAAGATGACTAAGATACTATTTATGTAAATATATTACTTTATAAAATACTGGATTACCTTTTGTATAACTTTTGTGTATTACCATCGTATTTCTGTTTCAGTTAGAGTTTATATTTTTCACTTGTGTAACATTATGTGAAAACAGACACTGAATTTATCACGAGATATTTTAATACACTGTACTAAATACATGCTACTACATAAATAAATGAATATATGGTTAAAACATCTGCATTATAGTGAAACATAATTATTTTGTGACACCAGCAGTATCATTTGATCATACTACATGTTCAATACATATGAAATTTCAGTTTGTAGGCTGAGAAAAACTAGTGTATTAACTATTTCAGAACAGATATTTTCCTCACATAGGTGTTTTAAAACAATGTTTTAGTAACATGTATTATATTTTCACTTAAAAAATATACAAATCAGTCTCGTTAAAATAATCATTTTATTTGTAACTTTTTAAGAAATATAATTAAGTCTAGACAGTGATGACATAATCACATGTTGAGACACCCTACGATGAGCTCATCATCCTATTGAACTACCTGCCTATTAACACCATCCACCTATAGTTACACCATCTGCCTATAGAACCTTAGTAACACCGTCCGCCTATAAGAACCTTGGTAAGTGTCCGCCTATACAAACACCGTCTGCCTTTGCAACATATACACAGTATGCCTAGTAAGGCCATCTGCCTATAGAACCTTAGTAGCCCCCCAGTGGCACAGCAGAGTGGTGGGAAGAGCACAGATAGCCTATTGTGTAGCTTTGTGCTCAACTTCAAGAACCTTAGTAAGACTATTTGCCTAGTAACTTCGCCTATACAAACACTACCCTTAGTAGCACAATTCATCTATAGAACCATAGTAACACCATCTACCTATATAACCTTAGTAACACTATCTGCCTATAGAATCTTGGTAACAACGTTCGCTTATAGAACGTTGTTAACAGCATCAGCCTATAGAACCTTGGTGATCACTTCAAAATAATAGTTTTACTTACAAAATATAGACATTGGCGATATACTGAGACATCCTACGATGAGCGCATCATCATATTGAACTATCTGTCTATAGAAACACCATCTGCCTTTGTAAAACGTATGAAATTAAATATATAAGCAAAAACTATAAAGTTGATAAGACCTAGAGATTAAAAGCAGATTTAATGTTTTACTTATAAAGCAAAACTGTTATCTTGATAAAAATATTTCAGTACTGATAATTGTAAACACAAAGTTATGCAAATTAGATTAAATTATTAATTTTGAGTTTCGTGAAAAGCTACACGAGGGCTATCTCTGCAGGTCGTACCCGATTTAGCAGTGAAAAACTAGAGGGAAGGCAGCTAATCACCACCATCCACCACCAACATTTGAGCTACTCTTTTACCAAAGAATAGTGGGATTGGCCGTCACATTATAATGCCCCCATGGCTGAAAGGACGAGCATGTTTAGCGGGACGGGATTCGAACCCGAATATTGTGGGTCAAGCGTCCTAACCACCTGGCCAAGCCGGGCCGACTAATTTTAAGACTTTGATTGTTACTATAAAGTTGATGACATGTTGATCAACAACACTCTCTCGTAGTTTGCTCGCGAACTATCTGCATGATCTTCATAGATGACTTCATCATCCTATGATCTCCTCTACTAACACGCCATCTGGTTTCAGTTCGTGGAACTATGACGTCATCATCTTTACCCCTCCTCCCGAGGCAGCCGTAACTACTAATGTTAACAGGATCTTTGACTGTACGTACAAGCTTCACTTGTGACTCTTTGTTAACAATTAAAAAATAAGCACGTGAATGTATATAAATACATTTCTTGTTTGTGAACTAAATGAAAAAAGAAAAATATGTAATCTCTCAGCAAAACAAACTTAAAATGTTTAAGTGTTCTACAAATGTTATCTTACCTACCCCCAGTAGTAACGTCAGGGGGAGGTGATGGATGGTGAGCGGCCACCCTAAGTATCTGTCCACCTTCCTCAAAATTTCTACTAAAACTACAGCTTTAGGCGCCAGGCAGTGGCGTAATTACAAAAATTGGGCCCCTCTCCCTCATAAAACGTAATTGGGGACCCTACATGTATTCCCCTTGTGTGCAACTGTTAAGCTTGTCAGTCCCTACTGGTCCCCATTTGGCTCGACCCTCCCGCAGGCAATTGTAAGCAAAAAGATCTATAGAAATATTATATAGAGAGTGATGCAAAGGTCTTGCTCTTAAGTAGAAGTTTTTGTGGTTGTAAAAGTAAACTTTGGTTGTACTAATTTCCAGCTGTATTAAAGGAAAGTTACATCAATGATGTCACGAAAAAGGATTTCTGGCCAATCTTCAAGATCGTCTATACCGCTGAGGCATTGTAATTTTTAAATTTAAAGGTAAATACTAGAAATGAGAGGTAATAACAAATCAAGAGAAAGTTTCACTTGTAGCAGCTAGTATATTTTTACTTTATAATTTAAGTGATAAACTGATACTAAGTTGATGGAAAGATCCATTTTGTTTCTTTCAGAGACTGCAGTTTTGAACGTATTGTAAAGTATTATAAAATTTTCAAAAAAAGTATTACATATGTAATATCAGTACAACAACATGGAAATAATAGCAATGGTGTAATTTAATGTTAATTTGGAAAAACAAATGAAAAATACTAGATTTAAAACAAATCAGATGAATATGGATCGTTACTAAACTTTCTAAACATCTAGCACAGTGTTTGAAACAACAACAATGATGAATTACATCATTATGTTTGTATATTCAGTTTTCAGTACTTGGTATTGGTGAAAACAAAGATTTAAACTAGAAGGCTAACTAAGAAACTATACTTTGTGATTTTTTTTAAACAAAAAGTATATCGTACATTTTGTATTTAGTTAGCTAATCCGTTTCTAGGCTTAACCACAATTTTAAATGGAAAGGGAACACTAACAAGAGCGGCAGGTTGTGGGTCTAAACGTGCAGATCCAGCGCCATCTGGAAGAATGATCTGGCACTGTTGTAGAAGACGAACGATAATAAGAAAGAGATCGGCCATAGCTAGTTTTTCTCCCAAACACATTCTACGTCCTTGTCCAAATGGAACGTAGCTGTTGAAGCGTTCGTTTTTCAGTTTGTTGTTTGTTAAGAAACGGTCTGGATTGAAAATATCTGGATCTTCCCAATAGGCGGCGTCTCTGTTTTGTGCCCACAAATTGAACAGAACCATCGTATCTTTGGGTATCTTGTAACCATCTAGAAACAAGAGATGTTCAAATAAAAATGTTGTCCTGTTATTGCGTAAAGCAAAAGTAAATGAAATAATGATAGAATACGACGATTTCTTTATGTATTATTCAATTATTTATATCTGCTACATAAGGAGCTTGATACGTTACTGTATAGGTCAGTCTCATGTAGAAGAAAGAGAAAGGGGGATAGTATCGGCGGAACTCCCCTTACAAACTGTCAACATTCCTTCCAATACCAATATCAGACATACAGATCCTCAGTATTTACTGTACATGGGGGACTTAAACCTCAGTCCTCTCACTTTCAAAGTCGTTCCGCCGCCTATGCGTTTTTTATTTTAAACGCAAAGCTGTACAATGGGTTATCTGTGTTATGTCCACTATGGGTATCTAAGCCTGGTTTTTAGCGTTATAAGTCTTCACGCTTACCACAGGGTGTGTGTGACATTTTGTTTCTTAAACTATACACCTGGAAAAAAGTTAAGCACCCCCGTGTTTTTTTCAAGTGATTCAGATTCGACGTTCTTGTGACTGATTATAAATTACCATTCAATCTAAACGTGTTTATCAAATGAAATTATGCATTATTGGGCGCAAGAAAACAAGATTATCACCGTAAAA